GTCCGATTTTCATAAAATTTATACCAAAATTCTAGAATAATAAAATAAGCTTATATCTAAAAGTAGATAAGAATATGTTGAAAAACAACGAAGTTATAATTTTTTTCCTATTCATATGCCGATCGTTCCTATGGCAGCTATAAGATATAGTCGTCCGATTTTCATAAAATTTTTACCAAAATTCTGAAATAATATAAAATGGCTATGTCTCAAAAATGATTCATTGAAAAACAGCCAAGTTATAATTTTTATACCCTTGCAGGGTATTATAATGTCCGTCTGTCCGTCTGTCCGTCCGTCCGTCCGTCTGTCCGTTTCTACGCAAACTAGTCCCTCAGTTTTAAAGCTATCTGAATGAAACTTTGCATATAGTCTTCTATATACTCTCACTGCTATATATGTCGGAACGGGCCGGATCGGACGACTATATCATATAGCTCCCATACAAATGTTCGATAAATTTTTAGAAAAAAAATTATAACTTGGCTGTTTTTCAATGAATCATTTTTGAGACATAGCCATTTTATATTATTTCAGAATTTTGGTAAAAATTTTATGAAAATCGGACGACTATATCTTATAGCTGCCATAGGAACGATCGGCAAATGAATAGGAAAAAAATTATAACTTCGTTGTTTTTCAACATATTCTTATCTACTTTTAGATATAAGCTTATTTTATTATTCTAGAATTTTGGTATAAATTTTATGAAAATCGGACAACTATATCATATAGCTGCCATATAAACGATCGGTAAATGTAGAGAAAATGTAAAGCTGGGAATGTAACACTGTAACTGTCAAAATGTAAACATAATAAGTATAGGTAAAATGTAATGAAACTCTGTTTTGTGTGTGTTTTCAGCATTTAAATCTATAATATAAACATCAAAACCAATCTGCAAGGGTATACAAACTTCGGCGTGCCGAAGTTAGCTTCCTTTCTTGTTTTTCTAAAAATTTATCGAACATTTGTATGGGAGCTATATGATATAGTCGTCCGATCCGGCCCGTTCCGACATATATAGCAGTGAGAGTATATAGAAGACTATATGCAAAGTTTCATTCAGATAGCTTTAAAACTGAGGGACTAGTTTGCGTAGAAACGGACAGACGGACGGACGGACGGACAGACGGACGGACAGACGGACGGACAGACGGACAGACGGACAGACGGACATGGCTAGATCGACTCGGCTGTTGATGCTGATCAAGAATATATATACTTTATAGGGTCGGAAACGTCTCCTTCACTGCGTTGCAAACTTCTGACTGAAATTATAATACCCTGCAAGGGTATAAAAAGTTATAATTTTTTTCTAAAATTTTTCAGATAGTTCCTATGGCAGCTATAGGATATAGTCATTTGATTTTCATTAAATTAAATACGAAATTAGAAATTAATACAAGATGACCATATCTCAAAAAAGATAAAAATTCGTTATAAAACAACGAAGTTGTAATTTTTTCTATTAATTTCCGGATCGTTCCTATGGCAGCTATATGATATAGTCGTCCGATTTTCATAAAATTTTTACCAAAATTCAAAAATAATATAAAATGGTCATATCTAAAAAATGGTGCAAAACTATTGAAAAACAGAAAAGTTATAATTTTTTTTCTAAAAATTTATTGAACATTTGTATGGCAGCTATATGATATAGTCGTCCGATCCGGCCCGTTCCGACATATATAGCAGTGAGAGTATATAGAAGACTATATGCAAAGTTTCAACCAGATAGCTTTAAAACTGAGGGACTAGTTTGCGTAGAAACGGACAGACGGACGGACGGACGGACAGACGGACGGACAGACGGACAGACGGACATGGCTAGATCGACTCGGCTGTTGATACTGATCAAGAATATATATACTTTATAGGGTCGGAAAGGTCTCCTTCACTGCGTTGCAAACTTCTGACTGAAATTATAATACCCTGCAAGGGTATAATAAGATTTATATATATGTATTTACACTATTCTGCATGTTTTTTTTTTTGTTTTAAGGGCGGGTTTTTTCTTCAGATTTTACATTTTGACGAGTCGTGTATTTTATGAGTTGTTTTAACCCATTTCCTCGTCTTCGTTAACTTTTAATTTGTCACTAGATTTTAAGGGTTTTTAATTTTAGATTTTTAATTTTTTTACTCTGCACTGTGTTTTACACGTTTTATTTTTTTTTTTGGGTCACTTTTTATGGATTTTTCTCTGCTCCAAGCTGCTGCGAATTCCAAATAATTTTTCCCCAGCAGAGATAGCTGCTCCAGCCGCCTTTTTGGCCGGCGCTGAATAGCGTAACCAATCTGCTCTGCTGCCTCGTTTAGCTACAGGACTTAAATAATTAATGTTGTGCAAACGAGCCCAGGAATATTTTTAGAAATATTTACCCAGTGCTTCCTTTTCTTGTATTTCTTTTTGCTCAATCGACCTAGCGATTTCTCGCCGTGTAGTCGAAGAAAATAAGCGTGACCTACACGTGCAAAGAAAATATTATTATATGTCGATCGGCTTGGACATTTTTTTTTATAAAAAATATTTACCTTGCCGACACGGCAATCTTTGGCAGCCGGTAGATTGGCGTTTGTTGATGGCCTTTTTCAACCGATGCCGAAATAGCAGTGGGATTAGGGTCGGAGCACATGTGCATATGCTCGCTCGTATATTTTCCCTGCTGGGTTCGGGACCAACTTCTCAGCTTGACGACTCCAATAGAAAAGATCGAAGCCAGAAGCTGGAGACCCGAAGAACCCTTCACCGATTTGCACTTCGGTATTCACCAGCTGGTGGTTTCAACTGTCATTTTTTTAGACGTTGCCAGATAAGGGGTCGATACTAATTATCGCTACTATTTTTAGGCGCGTATCATTTTAATTTCAAAAAAAATACTAAAGAATGTTTTTATATGGGGCCATTACAATGTATTAGCCGTGTAAAAACTAATATAAGTACAAATTCTGAAGTTGATACATGAATTATTAGCTGAGTTGTGAACTTTTTGTTTACAAATTTACAATTGAGTATGCAAATGTATTAGCCATGTAAAAACTAATACAATTACAAATTCTGAATTGGATATATGCACTATTATCTGAGTTGTGAACTTTTTGTTTAAAATTTTAGAATTGAGCATGCAAATGTATTAGCCGTGTAAAAACTAATATAAATACAAATTCTGAAGTGGATACATGAATTATAAGCTGAGCTGTGAATTTTTTGTCTACAAATTTACAATTGAGTATGCAAATGTATTAGCCGTGTAAAAACTAATATAAATACTAAATCTGAAGTGGATACAGGCATTATTAGCTGAGTTGTGAACTTTTTGTCTACAGATTTACAATTGAGTATGCAAATGTATTAGCCATGTAAGAACTAATATAAATACAAATTCTGAAGTGGATATATGTGTTCGGCTCGAGGGGGGGGAAATTCAATTTCCAATATCTCCAGATAAGCACAAAGTTATTTTAGAATACTCCCGCGCCGCAGTCAACGAAAACCACCGTAGAAATCACCGAAATCGCGAAAGGGAAAATCACCACCAAACGAATGAGAAGTAGTAGGCCGGGGGCGTGGTTATTTTCAATATAATGATCCGCTTTATTGGAGTTCTAATTAGGAATTAAATGTACAAGTTGGAGTGAGAGAACCGCCGATCGCCCAGAGTCAAAAGCCTCCGCTGGAAGAGCGAGAGAGCAAGCTGCGCAAGAGCGCAAGCTGAGAGCGAGAGCGCGCTAAGGAGTGAGAGCGCGCTGAGGAGCTTTGAGGAAGCAGGAGCGTTTCGGAGTCGCGCGGGGGGCAAACGAAAGCTCCTGACCTGAACATTCCGCCCCCCTTGCAATCACTATGGGTTGCAATAAAGTCTGCTCCTCCTTACGGCGTGTGACAGGCCCCGGACAGGACCCATCCAAACACGGTGCTTTGGGCCACCGGCAATCCATCCTGCACTTTCAGGAACCCAGGCTGCATAACTTTGGGGTACACATCCGCACCCAGGATGACGGAGATCGTAGCCGGAAGGTAGAACCGCTCATCAGCCAAGGTGATGTCCTTGAAGTAGGCCCGCACAGTCTCGTCCAACTGTCGGATCGGAGTGCGGACGCGCACTTGAGGCTCCACTTTGAAAACGAGGTCGAGCCGGACATGGGCGTTCGTTTTCGAGCCGACGGTGGCTGAGCAGATCTGTTCAGCACCCACCGCTGTCGTCGCAAGTCGCAAAGAGGTCGCCAGCGACGCGTCAATGCAGCTCATAGGAGGGCATGGGTCGATGAGCGCCGCTGTGTCGAACACTCGCGTCCCGGTGTCAATTCGCACCAGAGCGGTCGGGAGGAGGTTCACGCTGTGTCGCTGAAGCAAAGTGGCCAGTGAAGGCCCTGTCGGAACTCCCTGCGTGGCGAATGCCGCGGTCTGTGGAGAGGCCGACGAATAGCGTTGAGGCGAGGCCGCAGAGCGCCGAGGAGAGGCCGAAGAGAGTTGAGAGGCCGACGAAGAGCGTTGAGGCGAGGCCGCAGAGCGCCGAGGAGAGGCCGCCGCGTGGTGAAGAGAGGCCGAAACGTGGTGGTGAAAAGCTCGAGCGCGACGAGAGGGCGGCGTCAACTGACGCGAACGGCGTAAATACAGCGGCTGCTCCTGCATATGCAGCAGTGTGTGGTGCTCCCCGCTGCAGATCTTACACCGATCGCCACGGCGGCACGCTCCATCCGAATGCTCGTGAGCCAAGCAGTTGGCGCAATAGCGATTCGCGAGGACCGCGCGGAGCCTCTTTTCGATGCTCAGCCGCAAGAATCTGCGGCACTTCCGTAGAGGGTGGACTCCGTGGCAAACTCGGCAACGGTAGGAATTTATACCTCGTGTACGTCTGCTCTCCATTTCGACGGCGCTACGTAGACGTGGGAACATTGTTTGTAATCTGGAGTAGGATACAAAAAAGAATTAGTATGGAGTCGAAAATATGACTTAGAACTAGCGAAAGAAGCAAACTACGGAGTGAGGATAGGGCTAGTTATTGAGATTCTTCGGGGGTTGCCCCCGGAAGCAATACGACTTTTGCGACAGGGCGCTTAACGATTCCCCGAGCAGTACGAATATTCACTACTCGGACATGACCATCGGGTCCGGGAAACACGGAGTCAATCCTGCCGAGCCGCCACTCATTGGACGGCAGATTATCGTCCTTGATTATAACCATCTCGCCCACCTCGAGATTTCTTGTGGGGACTTGCCACTTTGTTCGCTTGTGGAGCTCCTTGAGGTACTCTTCCTTCCATCTCAGGCGGAATTGCTGATGAAGGGCCTTAAGGTGCTGCCACCGATTGATAATAGAAGTGGACGCACCCTTAATTTCGGGTTCGACGGTGGCGAGAAGTGGTCCACCTACGAGAAAATGACCTGGCGTGAGTGCCAACAAGTCTGTGGGGTCTTCGGACATCGGGGCGAGTGGACGCGAATTAAGACAGGCCTCAATCTTGGCCAACAATGTAGAAAGTTCTTCGAACGTATACTTTCGAATGGCTGTGGATTTATAAAACAGCGTCTTGAAGCTTTTAACTCCCGCTTCCCATAATCCTCCCATGTGCGGGGCTCCTGGTGGTATGAATTGCCACCGGAGTTCCTGGTGACTATAAGCATTCGTCACGGATTCCTTGACCGCTTGCAGAAATTCTCGCGACAGCACTGCGGATGCCCCAACAAAGGTCTTCCCATTGTCTGACTGAACCTGTCGAGGGCACCCTCTTCGCGAGACGAATCGGGCGAATGCTGCGAGAAATTTCTCAGTCGTGAGGTCGGAGGTAGGCTCTAAATGGATGGCCTTCGTGGAGAAACACACAAACACCAACACATAGCCCTTGGTAATCAGGCAGGCTCTCCCGGTGTAGTTCTTTATATCGAACGGCCCGGCATAATCCATGCCCGTGTACGTGAAAGGCCGCGAAAAAGACGTTCTCTCTTTTGGTAGTTCGCCCATGAGTTGGGTCTGCAACTTCTTTTTGTGGATCACACATACTTTGCAGGAGAAAATTACCGACTTGACTAAGTTCTTGACCCTTGGTATCCAGAATTTTGAGCGGATCAGGCGTACCATTAGCTGATTACCGCCGTGCAAGGAGATGCGATGCGTAAAGGATGCAAGGAGACGCGCCAACTGACAGTTGTAGGGAAGAAAGATCGGATGCCGTTCATCATATTGGAGGACTTCGGAGGCCGTCACCCGACCACACGCCCTGATGAGGCCGTGAGGATCAATGAAGGGATTCATGTTCTTAATAGAACTGGATGCTGGAATTGGCCTCTTTTGGCTCAGGCAAGCATATTCAAGCGCAAAGAATCTGCGCTGTGTTATGAAAATTAGGAGTCGCTCAGCTGTCGAAATCTCTGTGTTGGATAGCTGCAGCTCGCCTGGAATAGGTCGTTTTTGCGCGCGCTGGATGAAGCGCTGAACATAGGCGAAAACTCGTAGTGCCTTATCGAGCTTGGAGAACCGCTCAAGCATGTCCTGCTCCGGGCATGCTAAATGGCAACGTATAGGTCGCTTCTCGATGTCGATGTCGGAAACAGATTCATATGGTGCAGGCCAGGAGTCTTGTGGCTGAGTTAGCCATAAAGGCCCATGCCACCATAGCTCACTGGTAGCTAACTCTTCAGCCGCTACTCCACGACTGGCTAGATCTGCTGGGTTGTGCTCGGAACGCACGTGAGACCTTTGGCTGGCGTCAGTATTTTGAGCGATTTTTGTGACTCTATTCGCGACGAAGGTCGTCCACTGACATGGTGGCTTGTTCAACCATGCCAGCACAATAGTGGAATCAGTCCATAGAAAAGACTCTATACGACCGAAAGGAATCTGAGGCAGAATTGCAGTCCACAAGTCTGCCAGAAGGACGGCTCCACACAGTTCTAGACGCGGGAGCGAGACGGTTTTTACCGGAGCGACTTTGGTCTTTGACGTTAGAAGATTTGATGAAATGATTCCATCACGCTGGATGCGAACGTAAATCGCTGCGCCATAAGCCTTTTGGGAGGCATCGCAGAAACCATGGATTTGGACTTGTACACCTGGTTGAAAATGTACCCACCGCGGGATGCGAACTTGGTGGAGGAAACTGTAGCTCCGAAGGAAATCATGCCAGCGATGTAGTAGTTCTGCAGGAAGAAACTCATCCCATTCGACGCTGGCTAACCAGATATCCTGCATCAGGATTTTGGCCTGAACCACAAATGGGGAGAGCCACCCAGCTGGGTCGAACAATTTCGCGATCTGGGATAAGACGTCGCGTTTCGAATAGTTGGCCTGAATGGTGACCTCTGTTGGAACAAAATAAAACTCATCCGTCGTAGCGTTCCACCGTACTTCCAATGTCTTAGTGGTGCTGACCTCTTCGAGATCAAGAAAATCAGTCGAAAGTAGATGCTCTTTAGGAAGTGCTTTAAGGAGTGCACGTTCATTCGATGTCCACTTGCGGAGAGGGAAACCCGCTGAGTCCAGAGCTGCTTGCAGCTCCTGAATGGCTAAAATAGCGTCAGCTTCTGTATGGGCTCCTGCTAGCACATCGTCGACATACATATAATTTGAAATTATATGCGACGCCCGTGGATATTGGGCGTTGACATCGTCGGACAATTGTTGCAGTGTTCGTAGGGCCAGGAAAGGGGCACAATTCACTCCAAACGTGACCGTCTGAAGCTCGAAGTCGGATATATCCCCTTGGCCATTTCGAAAGAGAATTCTCTGAAACGGAGTGTGCTCTTGGTTTAGGCGAATTTGCCGATACATCTTGGTGATGTCGGCATTGAAAACAAATTTAAACGTCCGCCACTTCAGGATTTGAAGAGTGAGATCGGACTGCAGTACTGGCCCTGGATACAGAATGTCATTAAGGCTGTTCCCATTGGAAGAAGGACTGGATGCGTTGAAAACTACGCGAACTTTCGTGGTCGCACTTTCGGGCTTAAATACTGCATGATGGGGGAGATAGAAATTTATCTTGTCGGTATTCGGAGGCACCGGCTTCATATGTCCAAGATCGATATATTCTTGGATCACTGAGTCATAAGTGTTTTTGAGAGCGGGCTCCTTCTTCAAGCGAGTCTCATTCCTCAGAAACTGTGCGAGTGCGGAACTCCTGGAATGCCCCAAATCAATGTGCTCTGAATCTTTGAAGGGCAGGGATACTATATATTTCCCGTCACAGGATCTGGTAGTTGTTCGGACGAAAAAGTCTTCACACAACATGTCCGTTTCCTTTACCAGTCTGCATGGCCAGGTTCGGCAGCACAAACGCCGTCGTGTCGATCTTGAGCATAGGTTTGGCCGGAGTGCCCATCTGGAAATGACACATTTTTTGTGAGACACCGGAATTGGCTTGGTTGAGCCCTGTGACTCTTGTTGTTACGGCTTGAAATGGAAGCTTAATCCGGTTGGCAAGCCTCTCTGAAATGAAAGTGCCTTCGGAGCCTGAATCTATCAGGGCACGTGCTGGAAAATTCTCTCCTCGGTGGCACACATGAACTATGGCCGTACCTAGAAGTACTCCTTGTTGGTTGGAGGCGAAATGAACTGACGTGTTTGAGATTGGCTGCTCTGGAGGGTGAGCCGGCGCTGTGCTAACAGCGTTAGACGGAGTATCTTTGTGCAAGAGCGTATTATGCCGTCCCCTGCATGTGAAGCAACTATGCCTGCTCGGGCATTCATGAAGATTATGTCCCCTTGCAAAGCAATTAAGGCACAGTCTCTTTTGTTTAATATATGATGCTCTTTGTGGTTGAGTCATCTGCAAGAAACGAGGACAAAGCCGAACTGGATGAGGCTCTCTGGAGCAGAGATCACAAAACCGTGCGCGTGGCCCGACTTGTGTCTCGAAGGTATTTACCCTCCTTGGTTGTGCACTTCTGGGCTCCCTTGAATGCTGTGTGCTGGAAGAATTAGGTCGGACATCCTCAATTGCTTCTAACGTCCGATATCTCTCCTCGAGAAAGGAATTCATTTCTTCCCAGGCTGGGATCGCGGACTTATTGGTCAAGGACTGCTCCCATAACGAGAGAGTGACCTTCGGCAACTTGGAGGAGATTAGAAAAATTAGAAGGCAGTCCCAATTTTCCGTGGAAATTTGTGAATGCTCGAGGGCTATCAAGCACCCTTGGATTGTGCTCTGCAGATCTTTCAAGGCCGTGCCTGATTCACTGCCTAGGGTCGGAAGACTAAACAAGATTTTTAGTTGGCTGTTTACCAACAATCGCTTATTTTCAAAGCGATCCTGAAGCGCTGACCACGCGGATTGGAACCCATCATTAGTCAGCGGAGACTTGGCCACAATGGCGTGAGCTTCACCGCTAGTTTTGGCGTTTAAGTGGAAAAGCTTTTCCACTGGAGTCAACCTGGAATTGTTTACATAAATGGCCGTAAACAGGTCACGAAAGGTGGGCCAGCGCAGATAATCTCCGTCAAAGATCTCGGTATCGCATGGCGGAAGACTGCAACCCCTGGAGAATGTCTCTGTCGGCGGAGCTGTTCTTGGCGGTGAAGTGGGGACGGACATACGGGCGATGTCTTCATTTAGCTTCGAAGCACATCTTTCGAACACCGCATAGCAGTGCTCATATTTGTTTTGCAGTAACGGAAGATTTCCGCTACCTCCTTCGCGAAGAGCTGCTTTGGAAGCGGTTTCATACTCCCGTTCAACCTTTTCCCATAAGGCTTGTGTCTGATCCAGACGGATCTTTAAGGTAAACAAACTAGGCTCGGAAGAGGATGCCGTAAATATCTGGCTTTCAAATTTGACAAGACGGTCGCTGGTTGCTATGAACTCAAGCAAAATACCGTCTAAAGTGCCCTTGGATTTGGATCTCAAATTACTTGACGGTCCCGCGCCCGTGTTTTTCGGACTCGGTTCCCGCCTTTGACTTCCATCTATTGGAGGCACTAACTGCGCTGCCTCCTTCTTCTGACTCGCGTCTTGCGGAATTGGTTCTTGTCCTTCCGACATTTTTTTTTTTTTTTTGTTTTTGATTGGATTGGCAAGAATATGCCGTAGAATTCGAATGTTAGATTTAGTTGTGGTCAATACCGTCAACTAAATCGCCGAAGTGGAAATGTGAGACGGTCAAAACGCAGCGAATATGAATGGCAAGAATATGCCGCAGAACTAGGATGGTAGATGGTAGATGGTGGAATTAACCAATCTCAGAATTAGCCAATAAAATTCGAATGGTAGAATTATCTGCTCCCAATACCGTCAACTAAATCGACGAAGTAGAAATGTGAGACGGTCAAAACAAAACGAATATGGATGGCAAGAATATGCCGTAGAACTCGGATGTAAGATGATGGATGTTGGAATTAACCAATCTCGGAATTACAAGTAAATAAACTGGAAAAAATTTACTTGACGTAGAAGCGACGATAATCGAAAATATGTGTAGAGGAGCCAATATTAATTGGAGCAAATGCGACGAGAATGGAAAAAATATTTGTAGTGGAGCCAAATTAGCTGGAGCAAATGCGACGAGAATGGAAAATTTACCCTTGACCCTTGACAATTGTGGATATTTAATCGCGTGCAAATCTTTAAAAATTATTAAATGAGCAATTAATTGATTAATTATTAATTAATAAAAATATTAATTATAAGGCAAAAAATAATTCGATCGGAATGGTGGGATCGGAACACCTGACACCTTTTTTCTCAATTCAATGTTCGTTGTAAAGAATGTAAAGCTCTTGGTTATGTATGTATGTATGTATATAGCGCACCAATAAAATGCAGAAAAAAGACGGACACTGGCTTATAAAATTTTGTTTTAATATTTTATTCTTTATTTATTGTTTTATTTTCTTGGTTCTTTTTTTTTTTTTTTTAAATGTTGTATGAAAATGTGTGTGGATGGGGAAAGAATATAATATGGAATAATATATATTTGACCTGGAGAAAATATAATATGGAATAATATATATTTGACCTGGAGAAAATATAATATGGAATAATATAATATATGTGTATATATGGATCTGGATGTTAGCAGCGGACTGTATTCTTTATTATTTGTAATTTTTTATTATCGGAATCTTAATAATTTTTTCTTTTTATATTGTGTGAAATAAAATCAATGTCTTTATGTAGACAGATGTATGGACATATGTATGTATGAATTTTTAATTTTGTGTCGGAACCGTTTTGTACATTGATGTACGGATCAATGCCAATATGTAGAGGAAAGCGGACGAAAAAGAATATGGCGACGTTTAAAACGGAGACGGATTGAAAAAATTTGCCAATTTTATGAAATGGAAAATAGGAAATGGAAAATTCCTCAACTGCCGTTGTCAGGAAAACTCGCTCTTGGAGTCGACGTGAATTAATCTTGCAGCAGAGTGACCGAAATTAATTGTTCGGACTACTGCTGAAGACCGGCAGTGAGGGGGCGACGGAATAATTCGTACTTATCTTGGAAAAATATGAAACGCCGAGAACTGCTGGTGTGGAAGGAAACAAAAAATCCGGAATCCAAAAATCCAAAATCCAAGAAAATCCGGAAATCCAAACTCCACAAATCCGGCTCTGTAGGACCAAATGTTCGGCTCGAGGGGGGGAAATTCAATTTCCAATATCTCCAGATAAGCACAAAGTTATTTTAGAATACTCCCGCGCCGCAGTCAACAAAAACCACCGTAGAAATCACCGAAATCGCGAAAGGGAAAATCACCACCAAACGAATGAGAAGTAGTAGGCCGGGGGCGTGGTTATTTTCAATATAATGATCCGCTTTATTGGAGTTCTAATTAGGAATTAAATGTACAAGTTGGAGTGAGAGAACCGCCGATCGCCCAGAGTCAAAAGCCTCCGCTGGAAGAGCGAGAGAGCAAGCTGCGCAAGAGCGCAAGCTGAGAGCGAGAGCGCGCTAAGGAGTGAGAGCGCGCTGAGGAGCTTTGAGGGAAGCAGGAGCGCTTCGGAGTCGCGCGGGGGGCAAACGAAAGCTCCTGACCTGAACAATATGCATTATTATCTGAGTTGTGAAGTTTTTGTTTACAAATTTCATTATTAGCTGAGATGTGAACTTTTTGTTTACAAATTTACAATTGAGTATGCAAATGTATAAGCCGTGTAAAAACTAATATAAGTACAAATTATGCCGTGGATACATGAATTATTAGCTGAGTTGTGAACTTTTTGTTTACAAATTTACAATTGAGTATGCAAATGTATTAGCCGTGTTAAAACTAATATAAGTACAAATTCTGCCGTGGATACATGCATTATAAGCTGAGCTGTGAATTTTTTGTCTACAAATTTACAATTGAGTATGCAAATGTATTAGCCGTGTAAAAACTAATGAATTATTAGCTGAGTTGTGAACTTTTTGTTTACAAATTTACAATTGAGTATGCAAATGTATTAGCTATGTAAAAACTAATACAATTACAAATTCTGAAGTGGATATATGCACTATTATCTGAGTTGTGAACTTTTTGTTTACAATTTTAGAATTGAGCATGCAAATGTATTAGCCGTGTAAAAACTAATATAAATACAAATTCTGAAGTGGATACATGAATTATGAGCTGAGCTGTGAATTTTTTGTCTACAAATTTACAATTGAGTATGCAAATGTATTAGCCGTGTAAAAACTAATATAAATACTAAATCTGAAGTGGATACAGGCATTATTAGCTGAGTTGTGAACTTTTTGTCTACAGATTTACAATTGAGTATGCAAATGTATTAGCCATATAAAAACTAATATAAATACAAATTCTGAAGTGGATATATGCATTATTATCTTAGTTGTGAAGTTTTTGTTTACAAATTTCATTATTAGCTGAGATGTGAACTTTTTGTTTACAAATTTACAATTGAGTATGCAAATGAATAAGCCGTGTAAAAACTAATATAAGTACAAATTCTGCCGTGGATACATGCATTATAAGCTGAGCTGTAAATTTTTTGTCTACAAATTTACAATTGAGTATGCAAATGTATTAGCCGTGTAAAAACTAATATAAATACTAAATCTGAAGTGGATACAGGCATTATTAGCTGAGTTGTGAACTTTTTGTTTACAAATTTACAATTGAGTATGCAAATGTATTAGCCATGTAAAAACTAATATAAATACAAATTCTGAAGTGGATATATGCATTATTATCTGAGTTGTGAAGTTTTTGTTTACAAATTTCATTATTAGCTGAGATGTGAACTTTTTGTTTACAAATTTACAATTGAGTATGCAAATGTATTAGCCGTGTAAAAACTAATATAAGTACAAATTCTGAAGTTGATACATGAATTATTAGCTGAGTTGTGAACTTTTTGTTTACAAATTTACAATTGAGTATGCAAATGTATTAGCCATGTAAAAACTAATACAATTACAAATTCTGAAGTGGATATATGCACTATTATCTGAGTTGTGAACTTTTTGTTTACAATTTTAGAATTGAGCATGCAAATGTATTAGCCGTGTAAAAACTAATATAAATACAAATTCTGAAGTGGATACATGAATTATTAGCTGAGCTGTGAATTTTTTGTCTACAAATTTACAATTGAGTATGCAAATGTATTAGCCGTGTAAAAACTAATATAAATACTAAATCTGAAGTGGATACAGGCATTATTAGCTGAGTTGTGAACTTTTTGTCTACAGATTTACAATTGAGTATGCAAATGTATTAGCCATGTAAAAACTAATATAAATACAAATTCTGAAGTGGATATATGCATTATTATCTGAGTTGTGAAGTTTTTGTTTACAAATTTCATTATTAGCTGAGATGTGAACTTTTTGTTTACAAATTTACAATTGAGTATGCAAATGTATAAGCCGTGTAAAAACTAATATAAGTACAAATTCTGCCGTGGATACATGCATTATAAGCTGAGCTGTGAATTTTTTGTCTACAAATTTACAATTGAGTATGCAAATGTATTAGCCGTGTAAAAACTAATATAAATACTAAATCTGAAGTGGATACAGGCATTATTAGCTGAGTTGTGAACTTTTTGTCTACAGATTTACAATTGAGTATGCAAATGTATTAGCCATGTAAAAACTAATATAAATACAAATTCTGAAGTGGATATATGCATTATTATCTGAGTTGTGAAGTTTTTGTTTACAAATTTCATTATTAGCTGAGATGTGAACTTTTTGTTTACAAATTTACAATTGAGTATGCAAATGTATAAGCCGTGTAAAAACTAATATAAGTACAAATTCTGCCGTGGATACATGCATTATAAGCTGAGCTGTGAATTTTTTGTCTACAAATTTACAATTGAGTATGCAAATGTATTAGCCGTGTAAAAACTAATATAAATACTAAATCTGAAGTGGATACAGGCATTATTAGCTGAGTTATGAATTTTTTGTCTACAAATTTACAATTGAGTATGCAAATGTATTAGCCGTGTAAAAACTAATATAAGTACAAATTCTGAAGTGGATTCAGGCATTATAAGCTGATTTGTGAACTTTTTGTTTTTAAATTTACAATTGAGTATGCAAATGTATTAGCCGTGTAAAAACTAATATAAATACAAATTCTGAAGTGGATACATGAATTATAAGCTGAGCTGTGAATTTTTTGTCTACAAATTTACAATTGAGTATGCAAATGTATTAGCCGTGTAAAAACTAATATAAATACTAAATATGAAGTGGATACAGGCATTATTAGCTGAGTTGTGAACTTTTTGTTTACAAATTTACAATTGAGTATGCAAATGTATTAGCCATGTAAAAACTAATATAAATACAAATTCTGAAGTGGATATATGCATTATTATCTGAGTTGTGAAGTTTTTGTTTACAAATTTCATTATTAGCTGTGATGTGAACTTTTTGTTTACAAATTTACAATTGAGTATGCAAATCTATAAGCCGTGTAAAAACTAATATAAGTACAAATTCTGCCGTGGATACATGCATTATAAGCTGAGCTGTGAATTTTTTGTCTACAAATTTACAATTGAGTATGCAAATGTAT